TGTTTTTCTCGTTGCCATGTTCCCACCAATAACGTAGCTCCATTTTCTGCCTTTAAAAGCACACACAACCCACAATCCCTCTATTCGCTCCGACGAAGGGCTAACGCTCGAAACGTCAGCTTTTGTAATCGTTACGGTGGCCAATTTACCATTTCAACTTTTTCGATATATCTAAATTATTTCTTTTCTTTCTGATGTTCGATCTAAAATTTTCCAGCGAGGGTCGCTGTCGATCACTTGAAGATAGTCTGGACAAGAGGTATGGGCCCAGGTAGCCAATAGAGTGTTATCCATATCTGATTGTTGAGTAGCGAGGTATATCAAAATCTGAATTTTTTAGGGAGTACCCTTTGCTTTCACGATTGAAAATTTCACCTATTTAGTCGAAGGCCAAATCACTTCTAACTTTGAACATTAAAATTACAATCTCTTGAAGCCTCCTGTTATAGAGAGGAGACAAGTTTGCACTGCGTGGGAGATCTTTACAGGTGTCTGTCTTAAAGTTGCAGATTGCTTTCAAGGTGCGTTCTTGCAGTCTCTCCAGCTTTCGTCTCTCAGATTGCTTAAAAAAATACTATACAGTTTGGAAATACGTCAGGTGAGGAAGAATTGCTGTGAGGTACAGTTGAAGCTTGGTCTTGCATGGGATTAGATTACGCAGTCTTACTAGCACCCCTATTTTCCTGCTCGCTTTTTTTACAGATGTCGCAGATGTGTTTAGTGAAACTAAACTGATCATCTTTGTTTACTCCAAGGATTGTTAAATTAGCTGTTGGTCTGATTTTTTAGGTCATCGATATCAAGGGTGCACACAATAAGCAGGCAGCTGAAGGCAGCTGTTTTTTCTAGCTGCAATAATCTCTGTTAGTTTTTTAGAGAAAGACAGAACGGTATTTCTCATATGAAATGTGGAAGTGAGACCACTAAGTTTTCTTAGTGTTTTCTTTTGAGTCATAGAATTAGAGAGCGACCCTAGTGTATAGCGTCTAAGCCAAGATTTGTAGATTAAGGTACAAATAGTCCCGTGTCGGCTAAAGGATAGTTTCTTACATTAGTGGCAGCGGACTGGGATTTTGAGCCGACAAAATAACAAAGACGAAGTGAAAATACCCGAAGGCGCCTAAAGCGGTTTTCCGCTAGATCTCCCGCCGGAACAAAAGCCGGATAAATCAATGAAGAGTGAAGAGAGCGAAGGGTTTAGTGACTTGCATCAGCCAGTACAGGCGCCAAGGCCGAGTCATATGAAGATGTCAAGTAAGGTAAGTGAAGCAAGGAGAAATGTATATACGAGTACCGTGTGGAGAAATGTACCGAGCACTCAGTAGAAATGTACTGTGGAGAAATGTACCGAGCACTCAGTAAGACAAAGTTTTATAAAATGGCCTGTCGCAATTCGTGCAGTATGCTTACTTTGTGTGCATCAAGCCGGCGGATCATCGGGCGTATTTATTCACAATATTAGACCACCCGGCCTTTAAAGCGGTGGAACTGCTCAAGCTTCTGTAGTTACTATCATTTGACGATTTTACGGCACAGTTGATAAAGAGATTCGATTCGAGTAAGACGAAGGTGGATTATAAATTGCAGCTATGTGCGAGGTGTCAGAAGTCGAACAAAGATTTAGTCGAGGATGCGTACCCAGAGACGGGTTATCCAATCGAAGTGGGGTTGGCCAGAGATCAGTTTATTCAAGCAGTGGTAGTGAGTAATGACATACGAGAGAAATTATTTATCAGTTAACTGGGATCATTCGTGGAGGCTGTTCGCGTGGCTCGCCAGTTAGAAAGCGCGCATAAAGCAGGTCAAGAGGCTCCGTCAGTTAAGAACAAGCAATCCGTAAGTGTAGTGAGCGCCGAGAGGATTTTGACAGAGATACGCGAGCTTAAGGAATTTGTTCTGGTCGTGTACGAGAAAATTCAGGAACTGGAAAGAAAAAAAGAGACAACAACTCCAAGGCGTCGAGATGACGCGTCGTGCTATTCTTCCCACAGACAAGGTCACTTTGCGCGGGAATGTCCCACTAAAGTATCGGGAAACGGAAGCCGGGGCCTGCGGAGGGCCAACCAGTCCCCGTAGGACAAGTGAATAAAGGGGGTAAGTTTCTAAAGAAACTGTGGTGCTGCGTCGGTGGGGGTAACAGGGTAATTTGGTTATATCAGCTAGGTTGAAATTATAAATTGGCCATTGTAAAGAGTTCAAAAGCTGACGTTTCGAGCGTTAGCCCTTCGTCACAGCGAATGGAGGAATTGTGGGTTGTGTGTGGTTTTATATGCAGAATGTGAAGCTACGTTATTGGTGGGAACATGGCGACGAGAAAAACACGAATAAATTAGTAGAATGAAAAGCGTTATCCGTAGGACAAGGTCAGGTAGGCCCAGTAGAAAATAATGTTATCATGTTTCGGAACTTGTTAATCATCGTTTGATGAATGTACTGTCGGACACTGGTGCTACTGTCGGTGTCTTGAGTGAAAGTGCGTGGAAAAAAAAGCGGAACTTATTAAAGATCTAAGCCCATTGCCGAAACACTCACCACAGCCTATGGCAATGAGCTGATTGTTGGAATTGTCCATAGTGTACTCCAACGGGACAATCACAAGTTGCTGCTGTTACCAGAGACCTTCCAGCCAATGAAACCCCAAGGGAAGTGAGAGATTGTTGGTTTCCAAAAGTGGTTGCAGGAACTTAGCGTTTCAAGGTTCATAGGACAGTTCGTTTCTATAGTTTACTCAAGAGTTTTAGGCCTGTTAGGGAGGGGATGGTGTAAAGAAAGACAGAATGGTATTCCTTATATGAATTGTGTACGTAAGACCACGAGCTTTCTGGAGTGTTTTCTTTTGAATCGTATAATTAGAGAGCGATTCTAGTGTATCAGAGATAAGATTCGTAGATTAAGTTACAAATATTCCGGTGTCAGCTGAAGGATAGTTTCTTACAGCTGGTTCGTCACCTCGTCTTGATACTTTCGCCATATAGTATGGGTCTTTTGTCTTCGACGAAGTCTTTCAGTCGAGCCTTTGACATCTAACATCGGCGAGGCAAGCTTTGCGGCATGACAGAGTACCTGGGTGAAGCTTAACCGTCTCAAACGTGTGGCCCTAAAGAATCATTTGGTAAATGGAGAAAAATTCGCCACCGGCTCCGCACTGCTGGTTGGAGATGTCATGCAGCAGAAGTGAAGTCCGTTAATCAAATCATTTTCAGCATTTTAGTTGTGTGACTTCTGAATAAATAATATCAACATTTTCATTAAGAAATATTGAACATGTGGGGCGGACCATAACAAAAGTTATGCAAATCTAGAAACCCCGAAAAAACTTATCGCATCGCCTTTTCCAATCCTCTTTCAATAAATATTTCAAAGAGGAATTCCTTCTTTGCGAGGAGTGCTACTTAAAATACAATATATAAACAACAATAATAGACGTTGAGTTAAACTGAGTACCCCTTGCTTACTTCGGTTTTCTCTTCGGTTGAACTTATGAATTAGACAGCTTTTCCCTTTCCTTTTGATCTTCTAGCAATGCTGTCTGAGTTAGTTTGAATAACGTTCGTAAAAATTATACGAATAGCAACGCTGATGTCCGTGACATTATTCAAATTAGGGCAAACAGTATTGCTTGTAGACCAAAACGAAAAGACAGCAGCTGTCAGCCTCATACCACGGGTGTTACAGAAAACTGATGAAAGCAAGGGTGATGAATTCGGTCTCACCACACTTACATCGTCTCAATGTCAAGAAAAATCTATCTTCATTAATGCATATTTGCTCAATTTCACTTAGAGTTTTTTTCGGAAAGAATATTCTGTTGAGGCAAAGATAAATGAATTTGAACTCAAATTGGTTTCCAATGAGTATTGGTGTGACACCGTCCAAAAAAAAAAACTGTCTAACAGGATTTCCTTATATCATTGGAGCCTAATCAATCTGGAAAAGGTTGAATCATACTTCTCTACGTCAACTGTTTCAAAATCTTAGACATATACATCTCTGACCGTTTAGGATTCTTGGAAACCAATGAGAAATACTCATCACATTTTCCCTCGGAATTCACTCCCATGGTCGATGGTGGCCGATCCTAAAAAATTATGAAGACTTACATTTTGACTATCGATGACTTAGAGACAGACTTAGCTTGTAACAAGTTTTCGATTCTTGGATCCAACCACGCTAAATGTAATGTCGATAGAATCTGGGACGGTGTGGAGATACTGAATGATGACACAAGGCATTTGACATACATTGTTGGACCAACACTGTACCACTCCCCCCCCCTCCTCCCTCATCTTCTTGCTAGCTGTTGTGCCCTCTTGAAAAATACTAACTACGGAGGAATTTCTTTACAAAACACCGCCTAGGGCTAAGAATCCATTTTTCTACTTTTTCAGGCACAAAACCTTCTACTATAACCAGAGCCCTTACAAAACCAACAACATAAACAACAACAAACAACTCTCGACAGAACAAAAATGCAATTTATTTATTCAAACCAACCGCAGTTTGCAAATTGTTATGACTTATATCAAGATACAAGTACAACTCTGTCAAGACAAAAGCTGACAGCTCTTTTGCTAACTCCCACAAAGCTTATTGCCGCGAGTTTCTTTCCTCTCTTTTCCTGGTATCAAACTTTGTCCCCCGACAGGATGGAATCTCGTAAAGTACCCTTCCCCCCCCC